AAGGTGCCTCTTATCGGCAAGATTAAGCTATTGGGAAGTTTAATGCTGAAAATCACTCAGATATCCGGTTAACAACGTTCTACCCGACACATTATCAGCCAACGCAAAATGATAAAGGTAATACTTATCGAATTATATTGTGGGCGACGTATACTCATTCGGCAAAAAGTCTATTAATCGACAGTTGACTTCTGACTCCAAACTACCATGACCCGACTCTATTCGACCTCTTCCACAATACTCTTCGTACCTTTTCTCTGCCTTTGTGTCTGTCCGTCTGTCACTTTTGCATCTGTGAATCATTATTCTGTTCCTCCACCTTCTGTGAAGCCCGAAGTCAAATAAAGGGCTAATGATAACTATCAAAGCGCCTGCCAATTGAAACAATATCGTGATTATTACAAAATATCACGAATTAGGATTTTATGGCATGGTATTCGAAAAATTGGTATATTTGTAAAAACACGTTAAATTGCAGGCTTGCTGGTTGCTTCATCCTATGTTGTCATTCAATTTGGCAAAGAGAGACCAGTTGACTCATAATTACTTTTCTGTAAGAAATAGAGGCTACATATTTCCCCAATGCTTTTAAATTTCATCAAAATTCCTCTTCAATTTCCCGTTAAACCAGTCTTCCCGGAGGTATTCCGTATCCCAACTCTGGATCAGACGGTCGGTGTTAATAAGAAGTTGCCTCCATCAGTCAAAAATGGTAAAAAACAGCCAATCCCATGCACTCTTTTGAACCTTCCATGTCTTGCGTCGTTACAGCACCAAATCAGTTCCCAAATCGTGTCTGTGTGGTGACCAGACAAATAAAATTCCCCCCCCATTGGTTCCCCCCGCAGCTGGACAAAAGTGAGGTTGCTATGTTTTTTAATCTCCAGAACTCTTATATTATTCACTGAGATCAATTCTTCAAATTTTCTTGGTCTGTTTGACCACATTCGAACAAAGTTAAGACTCGTTTTGCTTCCTCATCGATTGGTACCCCGAGGAAACCAGTTTCTCGCAAAAGTGGAACATTAAAAAAATTGGTGACCTAAAATGTGGACTAGGCTGTACTTTCTTAACGCCAGGGTATTAGATGGTCTTAAACTCATGTCTCTTGATCTCACATTTATCTTTGTCTTGCTGGAACTATTTGAGAGATCTCCTATCTAATACTAGACAGTTCGTATTCTTCAATCAGATCATGCCAAAAGCTATTCCGCTTGAGAACTTTGACCTTGATCAAAGCATTTCCCAATTCCACTCTCTGCTTAATCTTAATGGTCTGAATGCGCAAATTTTTGATAAGGTGAAAATCAATTTTCCGAGGCACACAGGGAGGGGACATGGCAGGGATTATTGTTCCTCTACCATTTAGGTAATGGATGTCGCCACATGTTTGGCGTCAAAATCGGGGACGCCTTATCACGAAAATGGACCTTGTCAGCACAAATGAGGAATGTAACGACAATTTATCTGGACATAAACGACCTCCCGAAACTCCAGTGACCCAGCATGCCCATTGGGCAGACCACTACTCCGAACTCTTTAGCAGCTCAATTGAGTAGATAAGTAACTTTTGACGGGATGCACTAGGTAGAAATGAGTAAGTTTAAGAATGGGAAATTTAAGTTCGGAATTACCAATTCCTAACAAATTTGAATGTCCGTTAAAATCTTCAAAATTGAAAATCGTTGCCTAACATTGAGTGTCATCATGTAATTCCGACTATCGTAAGCTAATTAGGTTATTAATTATTCCTCTTTATAAATCAAAATAAAGCAATATTTAACCATAAGAAATACCTTAGTCTGCGGACAGTAATGAAATCAAATTAAAAGGTATGTAGGATATGAGAGAGTTAAAAAATAAAGAAATTAGAAAATACTAAATGGCTAATTAACTAACAACTGGACTAAGTAGGTGCAGATTTCCTACTTAAAATCTATTCAAGGTCGTTCTAGTTTGAACCTTGGGATATAACCCCTAAATTCAGGAGTGTTATTCACATGACAATTCGGTTTCAAAAGCTAATTGCTTGTGAAGTTCCCCTAAAACCTTTTTGTATATCTCTCTCCGGTGGTATCCACAGAGTAGCACTTACGTATCAGAATATATTCTTCCCAGTGGGGTGTACGATAGACCTACCTCCACGTGGCGCGCCCTGGGCAACATATACTCATACGGCAAAAAAGTCTATTAACCGGCAGTCGACTTTAAACTACCATAACCCCACTGTATGTCATATTCGACTTCTTCCACAGTACTCACCTCACCTTTTTTGCTACCTTTGTGTCTGTCTCTTTTACATCTTTGAAACATTTTTCTGTTCCCTTCCCCTCTCAACTTTTTTTCCTTTTTGATGTTCCCTCCCCTCTATGGAGCCTGAAGGCCACTAAAGGGCTAATGATAACCTACCAAAACTCCTGTCATTTGATATAAATAATGTAATGGGTGCAGAGTAATTCTGATAACAGAAAATCCAACTTTAAGCCTTTATATGAGATACATTCACTGCTTTCATGCCAAGAACTCAAAATTGTACTCGAATGCTGTTTAACAGTTTCACTTTAAGGGGGAGTTAAAATTGGCGTATTAAAGTTGTTTTGAGTAGAAATGCAAAAAAAATACAAAAAAGACATTAATTACTTACGATTTTAGAAATTTTGAATTGGACGTAAAGTGATTGGTTGATCGTGGTTTTTCCGCGTAGCAACAAGTCTCAGATCCGGTTTCACGATCGGGTTCTGAAAGAGCCTCCACATTATTCACATATAGTGTTCCAGAAACTGGGATATTTCTGCGCTCCTCTGAGGTGGCTGCATTGGAATTTCCACTACTTGACTTCTCCTTCCGCACTCGCTTCCACACACGGAATATTATTGAACAATAGCAATAGGCCATAAAGAGCAGAGGTGCTGTGTAGACAAGGAGTGTCACAACGCCAAGGAAAAATGCCCTGTCAACAGCCACAGATGGCCATGACTCCAGGCAACGTATTTGCTCGTCTGGTCCCTTAGAGAGACGAAAGTAATAAGCCCAAGGAATGAATAGGGCAGCGGAAATGAGCCATATCAAAATTACAATTTTTTTGGCCAGACTACGGCTGATCAAACGCTTCATTGGAAAGCATACGGCCAAATATCTGAAGAAGGCAAGAAAGTGAATCGATTGATTGAAATGTGTAAAGAGGGAAAATGATAATAACTTTTGTCTCAAAGCTAGGGCGCATGATATAGCAATCCGGTGAATCTTGAATTACATGCATGTCTCATACAGGCACACGCCCATGCCCTTCTCTCCATCATTGTGTCTGTCTCTTTTACATCCACAAATCACTCTTCGGTCCACCCTCTTGAACTTTGATGTTCCCCCCCCCCCTCTGTGAAGTTCGAAGTCAACTAAAAGGCTAATGATAACTATCAAAACGCCTGGCATTCGAAATAAATAAATAAATAATTACATGCATATTTTGTATAGTTTTCGTTATATCAACTCATTTTGTTACTTATTCTAAGGCGAAATGCTGCATTGAATGGTCAAAGATACGCATTCTAGCTTTTGAGAGCATACCGCTTATCAAAGCGTATCCCGTTACAGGACGCTAGAAGCAATTCAGTCTCCCTAATTATGAATCTTTTGAATGAAATTGAAGGCCTTTGATTTTGGCACTCGAAGAAAATAATTTTTCACGAAATACATAGTTGCTAATATTGACATGTTAATGACAACAAACATTATAGAAAAGAAACTATAAAATATTTACAAATTCCTTGCAAAATAGTTGTTCCACCTATGGTGGTTTAAATGAGATTTTTGCGCTTTTGAAACTTTGCAAAGTTTTCAAAATTAAGAACCAAATATGGCTGTTGTTGATTACAGCCATTACATATTGCATTAATCGTCAATGGTATTTGAGAAGAAATATTTGAGGTAGGCAGAAATATCCTATTATATCAGAATTTAAATCAAATTAGTTTATACTGATTACTTTGCAATTTTCACCGTCAAAAATATAAATGCCTTAGCAAAAGTTTCAGTGATCGGAAATAAGTTCATATAAAGTGAAACTGAATTAAACTTTACTTCACATAAGAAGGTATAAATTAATGCTAAGATAGTTAGATAATTCAAAGAGAATCTTCACTCATCAATTTACTGAAT